TTTATCATATGTGGTGGACATGTGATAAAGCTATGGACTTTTGGACCAAAATCCACAGTGAAATGCAAAAGATTCTAAAATGTTCTTTTAAGAAGACACCTGAAATTCTGCTCTTAGGTTTAAAAATGGAAGAACTAAATATAACAAAAAGGACACTGTTCTGGTATTTGATAACAACAGCAAGAATGATATATGCTCAATACTGGAAACAAGAAAAAATACCAGATCTGGAGGAGTGGATACAAAAAGTTCTGTTCATGGCTGAAATGGACAAAATAACCAGAAAACTGAACAATGAAGAGGACCATGAATTTTATGAAGAATGGGAGGACTTTAAAATATATCTGGAAAAGAACTGGGACGTGAAACAAAATTTACTTTGTCTAGAACAATACTAAATATTCGATGTTATCTTGAATCTATCTATGTGGGACATGAGGGAGACGCATTGCGGGAAGCCTTTTGGGGGAGGGAGGGAAAATGGAATATCTAACTGATTGATAAAAAGATGTAAAATGTGAGAATAATGGAAAATAAAAACCTTTTTGAACAAAAAAAAAATCATGGTCTGTGAACAAAAACAGTTCATGTCCGAATGCTGCCTAAAGCAGTAAAGTTCCTTTCACACTAAGAACCTTCAGGGTTCCTCGTGCATTAGCCTCTCGTTGGGTTGGATCCTAAAAAGTTTCCTCCTCGGTCTTTTCTGATTTCCTTCTGAAGCCCCCGTCCATCATGGGGGTTTGTCCATGTGGATCTAGGGCTGCCAACCTCCAAGTGGTGGCTGAAGATCTCCTGGGATTGCAACTGATCTCCAGGTGACAGAGATAAGTTCATCTGGGGAAAATGGCCACTTTGGAAGGTGGACTGTATGGCATTAATGTTGTTGTTCAGTCGCACAGTCGAGTCCGACTCTTCGCGACCCTATGGACAAGATCTCGCCAGGCCTTCCGGTCTTCCGCCGTCCTCTGAAGTTGGCTCAATTTCATGTTCGTTGCATCTTTGACACTGTCTAACCATCTCATCCTTTGCCGTCCCCGTTTTCTTTGACCTTCAATCTTTCCCAGCATCAGGGTCTTCTCCAGTGAGTGCTCCCTTCTCATTGGGTGGCCAAAGTATTTGAGCTTCAGTTTCATTATCTGGCCTTCCAGGGAACAGTCAGGGTTGATTTCTTTTAGGATTGACTGATTTGATCTTCTTGCAGTCCAAGGGACTCTCAAGAGTCTTCTTCAGCACCATAGTTCAAAAGAATCTATTCTTCCGCGCTCGGCCTTCCTTATAGTCCAACTCTCGCAGCCATCAGAATGGCATTAATACCCCACTGAAATCTCTTCCCTAAAATCTCCAGCCATTTCCCAACCCAGAGCTGTCAACCCTATGTGGATCCTACAGTCGCTCTCATGTCTTTTTCATTGGTCAAACGTGGCCCCTCCTTACCCTTTTGCCAGCAAAGCCCCTGGAAGGATCCAACCCATGCCCTGCAGTTAGTTTCCCCTGCATTTATCAATTCAGATTGTCCCCTTTCACCTTCTGTTGCTTCCAATCTCACAGGAAAGGTTAACCTGGTAGCTCATTATGTTCATGAACAATCATATGCGCTGAAGTTTGGCAACAATGGAGTGCAACCAGGGCTTTTTTTTCTGGGGGAACGCGTCGGCTAGGATTTTGTATGCAAAGTATTGGAGAAAAGAAGAAGTTCCATCAAAAGAAGAAATAATTTATAAACTACTGGAAACAGCGGAAATGGACAAATTAACTTTACAATTACAAGATAAAAAAGAAGAAATCTTTGAGAAGAACTGGTCAAGACATTACAGATGGATCGAGGAGTATCTCAGAAAACATGCAACATAATTATTAAGATATAAGCTCTATATTTTAAATGGTTAAACTGGTTTAGGTGCATAAGAGAATGATTCCATCTATGTAAAATTTAAACAGCCACAATGAGTACATGCTCCATATTTGTTGTGTGTTAGTTTCTTTCTATTTGTAGTTGTTGTCTTTCTCTTTCTTATTCTAAAAACTAATAAAGGCCCCAATCACATGGAGAATTTGCTGCGCGAAAGGCACAAATGTTGGGCGGATTTTCAGGGCGCGATCACACGGCAACATCTGGGAAGCGTAGCGCACCTGTGGCCAACCCGTGGCGTCCCGCCGAAGATGCAGAGTTAAAAAGTACCAAGGAAGGTTCATTAGTATCCAGAAAATGCGCGGCACAGGCGGGCGTCTGATCGTGGGAGCTCTAGTATCCCGTGGCATCCAGCGCCTGTCCACGTCCCGTCGCAAACCGGATGTTTTCCATAAGCTCATGTGCACAAACACAAAACTGAAAGCAGTGCTGCTCCGCGGAACTGCACATGCGCATAAACGCGAAACGCTTATGTGATTGCGCTGTGCTGCTTCTTTGCCACGTTGAAGCATCGCCGTGTGATCGCCAGCTAACAGCTGAAGCACAGAGACTTGGGGGACCATGTGATCGGGCTACTGCGCTTTATTTTGCTCCTGGGTGAACAGCCACGCCTCCCCCCCGCGTTATCTGGCCCATGTGACCGGGGCCAAAATCTATTTATATATATAAAAAACAAAATTCTTTTTAAAATGTTTAAAAGTTCATGAGTTTTCAGTATACAGACTGAAAACTTCATTTCCCTCTTGAGGATTCCGGCACCTCTTTTTACAAAAAAAAAGCTCTAAGCACAATCCTTCACATCACTAAGCCACTTATGTGTCTGGATAACGTCTGAGGGTGGTGACCTCTTGAGCATCTTATGTGCCAGACCCCGAGTTCTACAGTAGAAGAAAGGCAGGTAATAGTAACAATAATGACAATACTACTGATGATAACGTCACCCTGCTTGCCAGATTTCTTACAGGGAATCCTGAGATACTGTACATGAAGCCCACCTCAGTGTTAAATACTATCAGCCTGAGATGTCTGATTTCACTTTTATTTATTCAAGATCACACAAATCAGGAAAATAGATTTGCTCTGTTTTGAAGAAGCGTGAAAAACGACAAACGAGGGGGAATGTTTCCGTTTCGCTCGACCAATGTACAAACATGGAACCATGTTTCATGAGACAGCGCTGTGCATGTCACAAGCTGGAGTCTGGTTCCAAGGGTCTTTCGTAATGAGTGTGGTGGAATGCACAAAGCTGATGTCTTGACACATGGGGTGGGGTTGGGGGTGGGGGGGAGAAGAAAATGTATCTGCAGCTGAGATACAGCGACCGGCCTGTCTGGTGAGCGTGAGAGGAAGCTGGTTCTGTTTTTTTCTTTCGCAGAGAAGAAAAGGGTGAACCGGTGGATATCAGCAGAGAAAGGCAATCAAGCTGTGTGTTGTCTTCTGTGGACAGACTGAATGAAAGGACTTTCTCTTCTCTGCAGAGACATCCCGATAAGTAATGTTTGCATTGATTTTTCTTTCTTAAAAAAGCACGGGCAGATTGTCTGTTGAATAAACAGTCATCATTTGGGAAGAAGAGTAATGCTATGAAATCCAATAATGCTTGTGAGCAGGGTTTAATTTTGATCCAGGGCCCACATCCTCTCCTTTTTTTTGTAATGCTAGGTCTCAGCTCTGAAATATGTGAAGCAGTAGGTGAGAGCCTCTGGGCATGTGTGGAGTTCCTTTCCCTGAGTAACCCTCCACAACCTATGCACATTTAGTAGACAATTCAGTAGACAATACTGACCAGGATGGACCAAAGGTCTGAATCAGTCTCAGGCAGCTTCATGTGTAACTCAGGTGTACGATTAGTGCATGAGATCTTTGTGGAATGTTTAATTGTTCAGTACCACCCTTACCCATAATAGAAGAAGAAGAGATTAAATTTATACCCTGCCCTTCACTACCCAAAGGAGTTTCAGAACAGTTTACAATCTCCCCCCCCCCCACAACAGACACCCTGTGAGGTGACAGAGAGAGAGCTCTGACTGAGAGCTGCTCTTGAGAGAACAGTGCTGAGAGAACTTGTAACTGACCCAAGGTCACTCCAGCAGCTGCATGTTGAGGAGTGGGGAATCAGACCCAGTTCTCCCAGATTAGAGTCCATGCTCCTAAACTCTACACCAAACTGGCTCGCATGTGTACCAGTGGGCACTTGGACTAATGATGGTGGTTGTTGGTTTTTTTGCATTATCAGTATTAAAATGCATCCCTTTGCTAAAAATACCAAAAATTGGTAATCACCGGAAATCTAGGAACAAAATGGACATTATTCTGGGGCTTCTGCTTTCAGTTTCTTGGGTGGCAGGAAGAGAGGAAGTCTCTTTGACATCAGCAGAAAACCTAAACGACACGGGACAGCTTCCAAACCCCACCCCAAACATTTGCAGACGTACCCCACAACAATCCTATGAGGTACATCTGTTGACACACATTGTGGCTGTCTACAGGGAGCATTGTGGTTGTGCAGCTGTCCAGGAAAGGGCTCTGAAGAAAGAGGATTTTCCTGCCGGAAAGCCAGCTCTAGAAATTTGCCAATCATTGAATGAGGCAGAGATGACAACGAAGTAACCCAGCCTTCTTTATCCAAGACTTGAGAGGACTGGGCGGTGTTTCTTCTCTTTTTGTCTTTTGAAGAGCCGAAGGCGGTTTGGAAGAGCGATCCTCTCTGCTCCTGGTATGTAATCCTGCTTGCACCCTCAGATAAACGGATCTTTTCCAGGTTGGGACGGTTTCAAAAACCTGAAAAACTTAGATGACTAGAGCTGAGAGTGAGATAAATAAAATGCATGGGTTCAGTTGGGTTGCAACCCTGCAGGCGGGAGTTCTCCTGGAACCTCGGAATTCCCCTGGAATTACAACTGATCTGCTGACTACACAGATCAGTTCCCTTGGAGGGAATGGCAACTTTGGAGGGTAGACTCAATGGAATCACATACCTCCTGAGCTCTGTCCCCCTCCCCAAACTCCTCCTTCCCCAGCCTCCACCCCCAAATCCCCAGGAATAGCCCAAGCCAAAGTTGGTAACCGTAGAGAGTGTGCCATGGGAAGTGTGAGGTTTTTGACAACACCTTTGGGCCAATATGTCAGATTGGTCTGAGTTAAGTAAAGGTAAAGGTTCCCTTGCTCGAAAGCCAGTTGAGTCCGACTCTAGGGTTGCGATGCTCATCTCCGTTTCAAAGCCGAAGAGCCAGCGCTGTCCGAAGACGTTTCCGTGGTCATGTGGCCGGCATGACTAAACACCAAGGTGCACGGAACGCTGTTCCCTTCCCACCAAAGTGGTACCTATATATCTACCAGTTTGGTGTAGTGGTTAAGTGTGCGGACTCTAATCTGGGAGAACCGGGTTTGATTCCCCACTCCTCCACTTGTACCTGCTGATGTGACCATGGATCAGTCACAAGCTCTGGCACAGCTGTCCTTGAAAAAGAGCAGTTTGTGTCAGAGCTCTCTCAGCCCCACCCACCTCACAGGGTGTCTGTTGTGGGGAGGGGAAGGGAAAGGAGTTTGTAAGCTGCTCTGAGACTCCAAGTGAAGGGCAGGGTATAAATCCAATCTCTTCTCTTCTTCTTCTTCTTCTACTTGCAATTTCTTGCTTTCGAACTGCTAAGTTGGCAGGAGCTGGAACCAGAGACGGGAGCTCACTCCGTCATGTGGCACACTCAGGTCTCGAACTGCTGAACTACCGACCTTCCACAGCCTGCAGTTCAGCGTCTTAACCACTCCTTGCTCTGAGTTAACTACTTGCTAATCCACTCTAGGACTTCCTATGATGTGGGAAATTCTAGGAGGATGTTGACTCAGTTGTTGCTGTAACTCGATGCTGTAAAGGAGCTTTGATCTTAAACTTGGTGGTGGGAAGTGCTGCCCAGTCACAGCTGACTTATGGTGACCTGTAGGGTTTTCAAGGCAAGAGATGAACAGAGGTGCTTTACCATTGCTTTCCTCTGCATAGCAACCCTGGGACTTCCTTGGTGGTCTCCCATCCAAGTGCTAACCAGGGCCGACCCAGCTTAGCTTCCCGGATATGACAAGACTGGGCTAGCCTCGGGTATCTAGGTCAGGGCGATAGTAAATTTAGTATTTCTTTAAAACTTGTGAATACAGTCAGAAGCAGTACCTGTATCATACCATGTGCAACTCTCTAAAAAACAGTTGCCTGGCTCCAGCCCACAGACGTGTCATTCACGATTACACCGCAGCGTCTTGCCTGTGGCACTCTTGTCCACTCCCTGCCACTGGATCTGGACATGATAATCCAGAGACAATGCGAGCTTGGGAGATCTGGCCATCACCTCCCAATTATGGGTGTTGGCTTCCCTGCTGGTAAGATAAGCTGACACCCATCATTGGTGTCTCTGGCCAGGTGTGAGCTGCATGTTCCCTCCAGTACTAGTAAAGGTTTGGGGATTTGGCTCTGCTTTCCCTTGGCCGACAGCAGCCCTCCAGGACAGCGGTCCGGCAGGAACTGTCCCTCCCTGTAAGTGCTTCAGCTCATGGCCCTCTCTTGAACTCTCTCAGATTGGTCAATATGGGTTGGCGGCAAGTGACTCCTGGAATCATCCTCGTGTTGGTCAAACTTATTGGGACATCCCTCTTTGTCACTTTCAGTGAGTATTGCTCTGCATTTGATTGCAACACTGTTGAGATCTTAGCCTTATTTTTTACCTAGGGTCCTCCTTTTGTTAACAAAAATGAAATAAATTCAAATTTTGTTGTCCTTTCTGGTTTGGACGTATGGGTTTCTTCACCATATTTGAGCAATGGGAACCAGGTGGCGATCTAGCAAATGAAGAATTCAGGTGCTGTTGGCAATTTTAATATATCATCTGTGTAAGAAATGATGATGATGATGATGATGATGATGATGATGATGAAAACACCTGGTAGTGGCTCCAAAATGGGCACTGAAAAAAAGAAATGGGAGGACTCATTCTAGCTGCACAAGAGTAGGCCCTCAAAATGAAAAAGATGAAAGCCAAGATTCAGAAAACCCGTGATAACAGCAAACGTTGACTTTGCAAGAGAAAGGAAGAAACAGTTGACCACATGGTCAGTGCCTGCAGTAAAATTGCTCAGACTTACTATAAAGAACATCACGATAGAGTTGCAGCTATGTTGCACTGGAATCTTCCAACTGCAAACAGATAGACACCTGGAGTGTATCACCCCCAATATCATTATTGTAGGTAAAAATGAGAAATAGGGGTTGGACCATTGACATTGCAGTCCCAGGAGACAGCAGAATAGAAAAGAAAGAACAGGAGAAGACCAGAAAATACCAAGACCTATGAATAGAGTTAGAGTGCCTCTGGGAGAAGAAGGTTACCATCATGCCAGTTGTCATTGGAGCCCTTGGAGCAGTGGCTGGAAGTCTCAAGAAACACCTGGACATTCTGGGCACTGAACAAATAACACCAGCTCAGGTTGAGAAGACAGTGTTGCTTGGAACAGTAAGAATCCTGTGACGATGCATCTGCAGTTCCTAAGAACCTAGCTAGATCTCAAATTGCAGAACACCATCTACCAGTCAAACATCTTGACTGTGACAATTCATCAATCAATGGATTTCTCAATCCAGAGTCGGCAGCCCTAAGAAGACGGCGTCTATTGCTTTCTACCCCATGTGGTTTCTATCCCATCACTGTCTCATGGGACAGGAAAACAGACAGTACCCTGTCTTTGCATGCCTTTCCCCACCCCAAGGTTGTTGTAAACCACTCCCTGCCCGGGATATATATATTTACCTCCAAAGATCCTCAGTTTAATATCAAAGTAGGTGTCCTGAACTCACAGGAATTTCCTTGGATGCTCTCACATGAGAGAAGCCCATCTACCCGAATGCTCCATAGAGCACATTGATTACAGGCTTTTGTCCAGAGCCTCCTGAAGCTCCTTCACACCCACGGTCAAGCACAATTGACTCAGGTTTGCTGGACAATAACCTGAGGCCATAGAACGCTACTCAGTGTACAACCTACAACAGTGATTCAGTCCCAAGACCAGGGCCCTTTCTGCACCTGTATTTTGCCTCGGTTTCTGAGCGCATCCTATTCTTCCGTTCTGCATTCCCTCCCGCTTCCACTTCCACTTTGTGTTGGGGCTTTCTCTTGTCTCTGCATTTGTTTTATAGGAATCTGCATTCAGACCGCTTCCAGCACACTGTTGCCCCGCAGCTACCAAAACTCCTTTTGAGGCGATTCTTTGTTCTCGTCCACTTTTGAATCACTAATCCTTTCTAAAGTAGAATTGTTTCTGCGGGTATTTAAGTGCTTCCCACTGCCCTACCCTGTTTCTGCCTCTCTCTCTTTAGGTTGATGCTCCCTTCCTGTTCTGTTTTCTTTCCCTTCTTCTCCAAAGACAAAAGAGGACATGTCCTCCCGCTGAAGCAAACTTTTAAAAAGCCAGAGAGAGCATAAGAAGGAATCAGTAAATATAAAGGACTAGGAGATTCCCTGCTCCCAAATGTGTCAGTCTTGCATGTGTGGGCCTGGATTTCCCCCTCCCTTCTCTTTCTTTGAGCAGAATCACAGAGGGAGGGAGGGAGGGAGGGAGGGAGGGAGGGAGAGAGGGGTTGAAAGCCAGTAAGCTCAAAAACTGCAGGCTTTGCTCATAGATGCAGAATGCATACACAATACACAAATAAATAAACCGGAGGGGGGAAAATTAGTGCAGAGGGAATGTGTGTGACTGCAAAGTCAAGGCTTAACTCCTCGGATTCTCCGGAGCAAGCTGTCAGAGCAGAAAGGGCACAGGGAATGTCATCAAGCTTCTGCCCAACTAGGATTGCCAGTTACAGCAGGACATTAAAGTTCAGCTTCAATGGACAAAACTATTGAGGGAGGGAAACAGCTAAATCCCTTCCTGTCTGGTGCGTTCCTAAACTGAATTCGGGCTATTCACAGCTGCTGTTTCTCATTGACAAGTGCTGGAAGACCTTATCATAGATCCCCTACGTCTTGTGTACTTATTGGTCACTCCTAAGTAGAGTTACACCCTTCTAACTCTATTGAAGGCAATGGGCTTAGTAGGACACGATTCTGCTTTGGGTTGCAGTATTAAGAGTCTAAGAGCGGTGAGGTCTCATCTAGTGAGATCCTAAAACACAAAGCTCAACCAGCTCTCTCAGACGACAATTCGATATGAGAAAGAGGACTGAGAAATATTCGCTGTGAACTATATGTTAGTGGCAATATCTGGTACTGCTCATCAGACACCATTTAAAATTTTCCTATTTTCAGTTCCACAGATCTTCCCCAGAGGGAACTTCAGTTTTGTTTCTGAGGAGAATGGTACAGGTAACATTAAGGAGGCACTAATATCTAACTTTCTGGGCTGGGCAAGTCATTAATATATGCTTCTGCTAAGAGGAAGTTATATTATTTAGAACTCTGTTGAAACCGCTCCCATGTTTTTGGCAAAAAAAGCTTAAGCATTTTTATGTGGAGGTCTGTGTGTGTGAGTGCACCTGGAAGACATGGCTCACATGTTTTTGGCAAAAAAAGCTTAAGCATTTTTATGTGGAGGTCTGTGTGTGTGAGTGCACCTGGAAGACATGGCGACCTCTGGTGACTGACCCCTACTGGGGGCCTGGAGGATATTCCCGAAAGGTGCTGAATAAAGCCTGCCCCCACCTCCCACCTCTGGTATTCCAAGGAGGTCTCCCATCAGACTACTTGCCAGAGTCGGCCCTACTTAGCCTCAGAGATCTGATGAGATTGGGTTTGCCTGGCCTATCCAGGTCGGGGCAGAATCATCATTTCTCGACTTTACCTTGACTGTTTTCACTCACCTTCAATTGACTTCATGTACAAATCAGTGAGGTCCTCATGTAGCTACATCGTATTGCTTACATTAAACGGTGATGTCTAACCATTCACTATATGATCCTAAACTTGCTGGGTTCACCCATGTAATTAATCCCCAAAGTGTAATCTAGGAAATGTTCTCAGTTGCTCTCACTAGCCCTCCATGACACCATCACATAGCTAGCTTTGATTGGCTGTGTAGCCTTGTGATGTCATCCTATTTGCTCCATGACCCCTGATTGGCTGTGATCGCCCATGTGGATGATCCAGGAATAAAAAAGAAGCAGCAGTCAGTTTAAAAAAGAAGCAGGGACTGCTGTGATAGGTGAAAAAGGATCAACAGTCACATAATCAAAATGGTGGGAAGATTGTATAAAATGACAAGCCAGATTGCTGTCTTCTGCATGCAAATAGAAAAAATGGAAGAACATGCAGCACAGTCCTACAGAAAGCCAAACAGATTTCTTTTCACCATACAGCCAATGTTGTAGTGAAGTTTTTCAAAATGAATGTGAAAGACCAATAAAACGTTAATTTTCAGTTCCACAGACCCCCCCAAGTCTGACTCTGACTGAAGGTCTCACGACTACTACGCCTGTGGAAATCACAACAGCAGGTAACATACCATTTAATTACACTGAAGTAAAGAAAACCAAGCAATGACTGAGGCCTAGTTTTAACACCAGTAGTAAACTTGTGTCTCAGGTGTGCTATTTCAGATTGCAGGTAAGAGTCTCATATGACTGAATGCTCCTCCATGAGGAAAAAAAAATCCTCACTTGTAGAAAACTAGCATGTCAGGCTTCACCTCTAAATCTCCAAGAATATTAATTTTTTCAGTTCTACAAACCACCCAACGTCTGACTCTCCCTGCGAGAGTCAAAATTACAGGTAACTTCAAACCATCAAGTTAAATTGAAGTAAAGAAAACCAAATGCCGACTAGGGTTGCCAAGTCCTACCTTAAGCCGCAGCGGGGGACTCCCAGCGTGCTCCGGGAGCGCCGCGAGCACGTCACCTGAAAGTGACGCGGCCGCGTCGGCCGTGCTGGGGGCGGGGCTGCGGTCATCCAAGGGAAAAACATAGAGTTTTCCCTCGGATGACTGCGGCCCCACCCCCGGCGCGCCCGGCATGGCTGCGTCACTTCCGGGTGACATGCTGACGCCAGGCACGTCCCGTGCTTTGGGGGCGGGGTTCCCCCCAGGGCCCGATCCGCCGCCAGCGGGGAACGGGCCTCTGGGGTGGGGGTTTCTCCGCCCCCCTGGGGGACTTAGCAAGCCTAATGCCGACAGAGGCCTAGTTTTAACTCCAGCAGTAAACTTGTGTGTGAGGTGTACTATTTCAGATTGCAGGTAAGAGGCTCATACGATTCAGTGCTCCTTCATGGGTGTGGAGGAACCCTCACTCTCACAGAATAGCATGTCAAGGAAAAAGCTAGTCCACAACCCTTTTTTCTGTCATGTAGTTTTTCTATGGCAAGGGAATTTTGGTGTGGTATGGGCAGCTTGAGGACTTCAGGTATCGGCTCCTACATGCTCATGTCCCCACAAAGGTAGTCCTAATCAGGGGTTTGGTGTTGCCTTCTCCACAACTTTGGGATTTTGTTCTTGAACACACCTCCTTCTTCCTGTATCCTCCTGCAGTCCAGCTTCCAAGTCTAAGATGGGAACGTTTTGGAAGAAGTTCATATGGGTTTTCGGAATACATGCTCGCCTGGAGTTCCAGCCACTTAGAATGCCAGGAATTGAGCTCAGATCTGGTGATCATCAATGATGAAGAAGAAATGGTAAGGAGATTGTCATCCTCCAGGTGGGGCTTGCAGATCTCCTGGAATGACAACTGATTTCCTGACTCCAGAGGTCAGTTCTCCTGGGGAAAAATGACTTCATTGGAGGGTTTAATCTATGGCATGATGCCCTGCTGAGGTCCCTCCCAGGCTTCACCCCTAAATCTCCAAGAATTTCCCAACCCAAAGCTGGTAAACCTTGTTGGGAACGCAGATGCTTTTGAAGGCCTCTGAAGGGCTCATCGAAGATTCTTTACGAGCAGTGTAGTCACACCCCACCACCCATTTAAACCTTTGCAGCAAGCGGAAAGAATGTGCTGATCCCAGGATTACTGAGAAAGTGCATTTTCCATATAATATTTGGCCCCTGAAACAAAGCATGGTTACCTGCTCCAAATATTTTAAAATACAAAAACAGATGTGCTGAAGACAACTTGTAACCCAAGAAGCATGGCTTACCAAACAAGGCATTAAACTGTGGAATTCACTGCCAGTAGATCTAGAGAAGGCTATGGTCATGGACAGTGTTCCCTCTAAGCTGAGTGAGTGTGAGCTAGCTCACACTCACTCAGCTTAGAGGGAACATTGGTCATGGATGGGTTTAAACAGGGGTTGTTCATGGAGGAGAGGCCTGTCACTGGCTATTGGCCATAGTTAGTAAGAGCAGGGGTCATTTCCTGCAGGAGCGCACAGGAGCGGAGCTCCGGCAGTAAAGAGCCCAGGGGGCAGGCACATGCAACAAGCCCCACCCCCTGCTCCCAGCAGCCCTCAATCAGAGCAAGAAGCAGCCAGGTAAGCTGCAGAGCCCCCCCGCCCCCCTGGTCCAAAACAATCCAGTGGCACCTTTAAGACCCAAGTTTTATTCAGGTATGAGCTCTCCCTCCTCTGTGAGGACAGATCTGTACGTCCCCCCCCATAGCTAGCAATCCAGAACAGTCCAGTGGAGCCTGAGTGGTGGGTGTTGCCTTCTGACACACTTCCGGTGATGTCAGGGGGTGTGGCATAAGCAAATAAAGTTATGCTAATGAGTTATGCTAATGAGCTCCTGCACCTCTTTTTCTACAAAATGACTCCTGAGTAAGGGGAACATCCACATAGGGATGCCAGCCTCCAGTTGGGGCCTGGGGATTCCCCAGAACTGCAGCTCATCTCCAGACTACAGACATCAGTTCCCCTGGAGAAAAGGGATGCTTTGGAGGGTGGGTTCAAAGGCATCGCAACCTACTGAGGCCCCTGTCCTCCTCAGGCTCCATCTCCAAATCTCCAGGGGTTTCCCAATCTAGAGGGGGGACCTGGCAACCCTCATGTGGCAGGAAACATCTGATTACCAGTTCTGGGAGGCAGCATCAGGGGAAGGCATCAGCCTTGTTGAGTGGTCGGCCCTCCAGGACAACTACGGCGGCTGGGCCTCAGGTGGAGATCTCCCTCTTTTGTAATTGATCTCCAGACTACAGCAATCAGTTCCCCTGGAGAAAATGGCTGCACTGGAGGGTGGACTCTACGGCATTGGACCCTGCTGAGGCCCTTCCCTCTCAACCCCGTCCTCTCCAGGCTTCAACCCCAAATCTCCAGGAATTTCCCAACCTGGCTGGCTATTATATGGAACAGGATGCCGGACTAGATGGACTACCAGTCTGATCCAGCATGCTCTACTTTATATTCATAGGAAATCAGGAGCCTGAGGAAGCAGTGGGTCAAGAGAAGGAGAGGCTAGACCTAGTGGGTCAAGAGAAGAAGAGACTATTTGGATCTTGTCGTGAGATTTTTGGATGTGTGGGTGTGTGTTTAACCCTGTCACCCACACTTCACCCCCCCCTCAGTTCGTGTGTGTCTCCTGAGTGTTGCCCCTTACCAAAGGCAGAAGTGCAAGCTTGGAATTCACTAGTCTCTTCTTAAAATAAAACTTATCTTTATTATAGAAAAACATTCAGAGTCCCTAGTTTCCTAAACATTGATAGAATACACACAGAAATAAACATTCAGCAGAGTTTTCCCCACCCCATGCATGCGCTCGAGAGGCCCTCTCTAACTGAATCCTTTCGGATTCAGCTGAAGTCTGTTGTGAACCACCCATATTTATACCAGAGATCAAAGGGGTCCCTTAATAACTGGATTACAGGTCTAAATTAACATTTAGAAGTTGAGACTGTTTTACAGGAAATTTTGTTTTCCTTCCTTGGTTGCACACAACAAGAGTTCACATTCCAAAAGGATCAATACAGTGTCATTGTTTCTTCCAGGTGTTCCCCAATCAGGGAAATAAACTGTGCTTTGATGTTTATCAGAGAGATGAAAGCAGGGTGGATTGGAGTCTGCCAATTTCCCAAATGGTCATATATTTTATGGCCTGGGAAATTGGGGTTATTGGCAAGTTTCACATCTGTGGAGCTTCCCTGGGAATTTCCTGACAATTTGAGTGTGTTACATCATCAGTGAAAGAAAAGGTCAAGCCAGTTTTGCTAGCAAGAGCAGAGGCAGATATACATATGTAGATTTCATAAGCTATTTTGTTCATTTTAAACCCAAACACTTCCATCTTTCAATATTTCTTACCACAATCCCCCATTTTTGGGTTTAAAAGGACCCAAACACAATTGGCTACAGGAAGCCATTAGATAGCTGCTGTGGAGTTAGAGACCATTTTGATTCCAACGGAAAATAGGGAAGGAATACATTTAGCTGCACAAGAAATAGCGAGAAAACATACCAAGATTACAAAACCACCTAACAATGCTTCATCCTTTAGATTAGCTAAGTATCCCCCCGAGTAATCGTGCTTATACACATCTAAATAAAAATGTTTACAACAAAAATGAAACCCACAAATAAATGAAAATGGTTAGAAAAAAAG